TAAGCATCCTGCCACCACCTTTAGCGAGATAGATGATAGATCCCTAAAATTCATAACTGTTGAGGAATATGCCTTGTCGTAGAAGCCAACCCTCTCTAAGAACCAAAACCCAGACTGGAGAAATGAGAATCAGAGCAAGAAACGGATGAGGACAGTACAGAACCGAGGTCTGATGTTGACTTCCACACCAAGATTCGGAAGGTCGAACTCAGCACCTCCACAACAGTCTGCAGCTAAACCTCCAGTTACTTGGACTCCTTTTAATCTGTTGAGGTCACAGATTTTCATGCAGATTAAGAATAAGATGGACTTAAGGTGTCCTGGCCTAATGAGAACTACTGCTGCTAGCCGAGATCATACTAGATATTGTGATTTTCATCAAGATCACGGTCATACAACAGAGCAATGCAATAGCCTAAGGTCTGAGTTGGAAAGTCTAGCCCAGAAGGGAATGTTGAATGAGTACATTCAGAGAACTGAACAGCCAAGATTTGTTAGAGAATAGGGGTCATAGCCACAATGAGCTCATAATCCACCAAACAGGCAAGGCGTGGGATATCAACAAGCCCCACCTCCACTCCCACCACTAGCTCGAATTGTACATACGATTACGAAAGGCCTGGAAGTAAGAGGGCTGAGCTCTAAACAGCGAAAGTTGTATGTTAGAGAGGTCAAACATCAAAACCGGGCTCAGAAACGGAAATTTGACGATGCTGACTGGAAGAATCAACCCATTACTTTCACATCTGCTGATTTCGACACAGTTGTTACACCCCACAATGATCCTTTGGTCACTTTTGTCATGATTAACAACTGTGAGGTACAACGTGTCATTGTTGACACAGGGAGTGCATCAGACATCATGTACTTCCACTGTTTTGAGAGTCTTGGACTAGATCCAACATTGTTGTAGTGGTACGATGGTCTTATCTATGGCTTCAACAATCAACCAGTTCCAATTGAAGGGGTCCTAACTATGAATGTTGCATTTGGAAGTGGTCGAACCTATGTGACTCCTTTAGTTCGGTTTCTAGTTGTCAAGATGACATCCTCTTTCAATGTTGTCATTGGTCGACCCACATTGATTGAAATCCGAGTTGTGGTTTCCCAGTCTCAGCTCTGCATGAAGTTCCCAACTCCTATGGGAATAGCGACACTACGAGGCAACTAGGAGGTGGCTAGACATTGCTATATCACCTCGGTAACATGACCTTAGAAGGATAAAGATCAGACACTCGAGACCATTCCCCAACGGATTTCTGATAATCAGCAAGTCATGGGTGTTGAAATAGTAGATAACTGACTAGAAGATGAAACCAAAGCTGCTCTAGTCAAAGATGTCGAAGAAGTGCCCATTGACGACAAAGACCTGAACAGAAAGACGCAAATTGGAACACGATTGAGCCGGGAGGAAAAAGCAGAGCTAATAGCTTTTCTCCGAGCTAACAATGATGTCTTCGCTTGGATTTTGGCAGACATGCCAGGAATTTGAACATTGGTATCTCAACATAAGCTCAGCACCAATTCATTGAAGAAACCAGTAGCCCAAAAGCAACGTCTCTTTGGGGGGGAGAGGCTTCAGGCTATAAAGGAAGAGGTAGAGAAACTTCTACAAGCTGGTTTTGTTAGAAAAGTTGATTATTGCGAATGGGTGGCTAACCCAATGTTGGTGAAAAAGGCAAATGGTAAATGGCGAATGTGCATCGACTACACAAATCTCAACCAAGTTTGCCCCAAGGACTGTTATCCGATGCTGAGCATTGACAAACTAGTTGAAGTGGCTTCAAGAAATGAGAGATTAAGTCTCTTGGATGCATATTCTGGATATCACCAAGTGCCGATGGCTCCAAAAGACGAAGAGAAAACCTCGTTCTATGCTGGTGAAGAAATCTATTGCTATGTCATGATGCCGTTTGGCTTAAAGAACGCAGGTGCTACTTATCAAAAAATTGCAACCATCGTCTTCCAAGC